TTTGTCAAGGGTGCCTCAGGACGTCGCGCAATGCCGCCGAAAAAGAGCCTGCCCCAGGACACTGTTCAGATTCTATGAGAGTTGATGTTAGGCGGCTTAGAGATTTAAACCACAAGTGTATCCTCATGGATTGTTCGAACGGGTCGTTTGTTGTCGTTTGTACTGTGTGCCAGAGATACACTAGTGGAGCCCGCCTTGCATCGCTCATCAAGACGTGTCCAGGTCAGAAAGTTTCAGCTTACAACTCCGGCGCTTGGAATAAGATTTGTAAGGGACTCCATCCCAAAGCGAAAGGGGTCACCTTACTCTCTGACACGTACAGTGTGCTTTAAGCATGAAGCGAAAGCTCGAGTGCTCAAAAATCCTCCTCCTCCTCCTCCTCCTCCTCCTCCTCCTCCCTCTCCTCCTACCCCTTCCTCCTCCTCCTCCTCCTCCTCCTCCTCCTCCTCCTCCTCCTACGGTAGGCACCACGAATATGGGATTTCGCCGCCCTTCGAAAAGCAAGCGCTTGCATGCGGCATGGGCACTGATTAGTGACGACGCACTCATGCAAATTATACGTCCACCATGGACACCACCGTCGGTAAAAGCGCCACGCGTAGTTGAAGCCTTGCGAAGCGAAAAAGACGCCCCACCAACACAATTTTCGTCCGTAAGCTGGGAAAATCTAAGCTGCAACACAGCGTCACCCACCACGTCCACCTTCTCATCGTTTGGCATAGGCCCCAGATCGATAACGCCACCCGCTCCCTCTAGCCTCCAAAGTTTCCGAGCCAGCGAGACATCATCATAGTTCAAGAACCAGCGTCGAACATCGTCGTCTCTAAACAGCTGAATAATAAATCGCTCCCAACGCTCATTCCAATCATCCGTATCAGCAGAGGCAGCTAAGCAAGAGGCATCGGCAATAAACCATGTAGCAGAACGGATAGCAGCAGGCGCCAAACAATCACCTACAATAGCATGGTGGGACTCAAACTCGTACTGACCCAACAGCGCGGTGACGACCTAAGCGTGGTCTTCGGAAAAACGAAGCATATTTTGACACCACCTAAGTCTCGGCCAGGAGCTCATCTCACAAGAGCCAAATCAACCGAATAAAGGCAGGAATACGCGCGACGGCTAATCCAGAAACGAGGACGCGGGCCAGACCAGTCACCGGCGCCACCTGGAGCAATGGACCCGATCTTGCGCAACAGTGCAGAATTCAGCTCATTCTCTTGCGCGGGGGAAAAGATGAAAGGCGCAAGCCCTGACAACGAGGCGCCCTGGACAACAGAAAAGAAGACGCGTCTGTTTTCTATCCACGGCGCACGAGCGCTCTAAAAGTGTTGAACGCCATCCAGCCTCTGGCAGCAGCATTCTTAGCCGCCACGCTCTGCGGGGCCAGGGCGCCGGTAGGCGCGAAGAAAGGGCCGAGAAAACGCGCGCGCGGTAGAACGTTGGCTCCTCCCACATGTGCGCTGTAACACAGACCGTTGTCAAGATGTCAATTCAACCAGGGTGCCAAAACTTGCTTCCTCAGATTTTGCCTGTACCAGTAGCTGTCCGTTGAAATGGCTGGTTCGACAGTAACTTGTCGGATGGCTTCAGCGAGATCACCTGACTGCAAAACTATGAAGTTAAAAAAGATCGCCCGCGTACTTGACTAGGGACGCGCCGACTGATTCATCAACTAATGGGCACGCCGCACACTACTCAGGCAGAGGGGGACAGTTGCGCCAGGCGTTCACAGGCTTACCGGAATCCACGCGGAACACGTCAGGAGGGGATGCCCCGGCCCAATGTGCACTGGCGGTCAGCTTGAGGCGTAGCGCCGCATCGCCCGCATCCAGACGCAGTGCATGTGTGGATCGACGATCAGACAGCAAAGACGCGCGAGCATCAGGCAAATATACACGCTGCACTTCGTTAAGTCGGGTATGGTCACAACAACCGCATGCATCGGTCATGACATCCAGCACGGCAACATGGCGAACGTTGGAAGCACGTAGTCGCCACGCAGTAACATGCACGGCCAGGATAGCATTCTCACGCCGACGGCGGGGAACGCACACTTGATCAGCATGTTGGGCGGGCCCGCACGCAAAGCCCCTTGCAAAGGCCGCGGCGCTCGACCTCCAGCGGGCCAGGGCAACCAACATGAAAGATAATGGGTGCATCTGGAGGTCCAACAGCACAGCGCAGCCCAGCCATGGACTTCTCCTTCTGTGACTAATACCAAGGACGTAACATCATCCACCAAATCTCGCCAGGCATACTCCAACCAGGCACGGCGCGTCGTCGAGCAGCTTTCCTAAGACAAATGATGGCGCGAGCAAGATGCTTCATCCCGAGGGCCTCCGCGGCGCCACGATAGCTCGTGCCATTGGGCGGCGCGGCGGCCCGCTGAGCGTCACGCGCACTAATGTCAGTCGGTTGGGCACCCAACCCGCCAAGAGCACCCGACTTCTACAATGACTGGAGCAGTTCGATGGCGGAGGGCGCGCGCTTGAGAACAAGGTTGCAGCGCCTGCGCGCAGGACCAACACCAGTCCCAGCCAACGTCCGAGACAAAATTTGGACGTCCACGAGCCGTCGACGCCGCCAGGTCTCGCGAAGCTGCCGGGCCCAATAGCTATGCAAAGCGCGGCACCATCGGCGAATCTGGGATTTCAGGATGGCCGCGAGGTCGCGGATCTGCGAGTCGAGATGCGCATGGGGAAGGGGGGGGGGCAGCAACTGCCCGCAAATTACCCCGTAGAGAAACGAATTCACGAACGTCGCGTCGGAGACGACGAGTGTCTTCATCCACGCAGCTGCAGCGGGGAAAATACTTGGCCGCGACAGGGAAGACAGCAGAGCGGAACGCGGCATATCCTTGCTCGATCTGTGGCGATTTGGAATACCCCAGCAGCGAATGTTGTAAACTAGGCTTCAAGCTCAGCAGAGAAAAATGCAAGCAAACCTGGCGTTTGAAGAGCAAGGGCAACACGATCACGGTCCCAGGCAATCTGCTGCGAGGGGCACACAAAGGAGAGGGAAATAGCTAGCCCCAGCTTGACGGGCGCATGATCGAGGAGAACACCAGATCCGGGCGCCAGCCGCAGCTTCTTGGCAAGACGCGTCATAGAGAGACACTTAGTGGCATGCTTACGTAGTCCGAATGGTATCGCCAGGATGTCAATGTAGGAAGTGCGGTTCTTCTGTCCATGATAAGTGGGGTAGACCTTACACAATGTGCTCACACGAATGATGGCGATGACCAATTCACGAGACGCTTTAGCTGTGAATCCCATCCGATACGTAGTGTATGAGCCAAACCATTGATACTGATCAGCTTGTTCAGCCGAGAATGGAATCATTGAGATCAGTGTAGATCACCGGAGTACAACGGCACGGTAGCGCGGCCAAGGTGTCCGACAGCCATCTCAACACGCACTCAACAATATTACGCCACGTCCCGCTCGCGCGCCCCACAGCCGCGGGTGGAAAGTAAAGCGCAAATGCAGCGATATCAAAATCCGTCCCAGTCAATCGTATCATGCCACCACGGCCTTGCGCAGCATCAGGAGAACACGAAGTCGCATGGACCCTGCCCCGCTGGAGAATCTTGGTATTGCAGCTGTTTGGGACTCCACAAGCATTGTTCATAAACGGCCCACGGGCGTAGCCGAAGTGGACGAAATGGTGCGCCTTTTCAGTCTGCGTCCAAGAAGTGGTGTGAGGGAGTACACGCACACGAGTGCCCACCAGCATGATCAGCGCCACGGAGCGCAGGAGGATGCTGATCTCGTGGAGCCGTCAGGTCTGTATCAGAAAGAACGGGTTGTAACCAACGAATGAGAGATGCCGCATGGTAACCATCTGAAGAAACCAGCCCAGGCAACACAGCCTGTCAGCGCAAGGCTCCTCCCAGGCCCATCAGGAGAGGTGTGATGTAGGGAAATGCAAGGCGTGGAAAAGGGCTCCTGGCACCCCTCGGTCTCCTGAAGTGGGCTGTACTCAGAGGGGGAGTAAGAGGAGAACCTCTTGTTGCTCCTCTTGAAGTGTTTCTCCTCCTCCTCCTCCTCCTCCGTCTGACCTGGCGAGGTCCGAATACAACCAACTACTGCTATACACAGGTGGTTCTTTTGGGGGGTTAGGGATACCATCAAACCTTACTATGCACGGGTTGCTTTGTTTGGGGATGTTCCAGAGGTCCACAGACTTGGCCAGGAACGCCTACGGCAGTTACACTCCCAACAAACACAACTACAACGGTGTATTTGGTGTTTTTTGTTTGCGATGCCACCAAACCCAACTATACACATGTGTTTGTTGCTGGTATCGGGATGTCATAAGTTTCTACAGGTTCGCCAAGCCAACCCAAGTGGACCTTCTGACCCCCCCCCCCAAAAAAACATGAGTATACTAGTGCTTGGTGGTATCCCCGGCCCCAAAAAAAACACAAACAACAAATTGTGTGTAGGATGGCTTGGTGGGCATGTCCGTGCCGCAAGCGCTCATGGCCAAACTGTGCGGACCTCTTGAAAACCAAAACCAACATGTGTATAGCAGGGTATGGTGGTATCCCGGAGCAAACAACTGTGTATAGCAGTGTTTGGTGGTATTCGGGCATCGCCAGGTCAGAAGGGGGATAGAGGCGGAGTCCACATGGATGGCCACGCAGGAGGACGAAGATGAGAGGGAAAGAAGACGCGGAGACAGAGGGGGAAGCAGACGAAGGAACAGAGAGTAAGAAGAGAGATGTACATAGATCTGTCCATACATATATATAGTAGATATATAGATAAATCTATACATATAAAGATACATAAATATAAATATGTATATAGATCGAAATATATATATATATATATATATATATATATATAGACATGCATGTATGCCAACTATATATATATAGTTGTATATATATGTATAGATGTATGTATGTGTATATATGTATAAAGAGAGACGCCCTCCTGCCCCTCCTAGCCGCGAGCCGCCGCGAGCCCAGGGGCGCGGAGGGCGCGCGCCGTGCCGCAGAAACCGCACTGGAACGGCTCCCCCTTGGGGCCCAGCATGGCGTTCCCGCAGTCTGCACAGGGGGGCGGGGGGCGCGCGGGAGCCCCGCAGTCTGAGAGGCGCGGGCCCCGCAGTCTGAGAGGCGGGGACGCGGACGCGGACGCGGACGACGACGACGAGGACGACGAGGAGGACGACGACGACGACGACGACGACGGCGACGGCGACGACGACGGCGACGGCGACGGCGGCGGCGACGACGACGGCGACGACGACCACGACGACGGCGACGGCGACGACGACGATCACGACGATCACGTTGGCGACGGCGGCGACCACGGCGATGTCCACGACGACGACGACGACGACGACGACGACGACGACGTCCACATCCACGGTGGGAGACCTTTAGATCCAGGCGTTGCACTGTTTTCAAGCCGGGCGCTTTCGCCCAACTTCGGGCCCTGAGACCCTCACATATTGATCAGGCTCGAAAAATTGCGCAGAAAGATTGGGTGTAGGGTTCCGATGTTTCAAGATGTTGCAAATTTGTGCAACGTCGGATGCGAGGACCGCAGTTTGAGAGGGGAGGACAAAGAGGATCGGGAGGGGGAGAGAGGGACGGGCAAGCTAGGTGCGCTCACGCCCCATCTAACATCATATCCCTCCCTCCCATCCCTTCCCATGGCGCTCATGTCTCTATCCGCAGACGCGCGACATAACCGAGCTGTGACTCGCACAGAAAGAGGGGAGCTGCGTGCACAGGAGGAGGTGGCAAGTGAGTAAGAGGATGAGCGGGAGCAGAAGGATGAGGACGAACAGCAGCAACAAGAACTAAAGCGGAAGGGTCGGGAGGGAGAGGAGGACCAGGGGAAGGCGGAGGAGGAAAAACGAGAAGGGCGACAACGATGAATAAAAACTCGGATTCAGAAAAATGGCCCGCGCTGGGGCGAGACGAACAACAGAAGCAGAAACTGGAGTGGAGAGAGCGGGAGGCGAGGGCCAGGTGACAACGGAGGGGAAATGATGGCTGGGGCCACAACGAAGCACGACTTGAATCTAGGAAAGTGGCCCGCGCTGGGGCGAGAGCGCCATTCCGAACGACGGGAGCAACGCGCCGATCCGAGAATGAGGCTCACGATGAAGCGAAAGCACCTTTGAATACACCGAAGACAAGAGATTGTAACAACCACCAGAAAAATCATTGTTTGACATCCCGCGCGTGGAAAAACACGCTGAGGGGGTGGGAGATCTTTGGAACAACTTCAGGTGAGGGAGAGAGCAGTATTCACACGATTGGATTGTGGAAAGGGGGGAGGGGGAAGAGAAGTTTGCCTGATGATTGACCATATCGCTTGATGAGATACAACCGCCTTTGCAACGCTGAGTACAGCATTATCGAAACAATACAACAAAGTACAAGCAAGTGAATGGAATATGGAGTGCGACAGCGAATACAACTTGTCGAAACACTGTAACAAGGGCACAAGCATCTTTGAATTTTGTGCCCACCCCCACGGGCCGAGTGCACCCATTATGGTGGGGTGTATCTTGCCCGGCTACGCGCCTGCCTCAAAGGCTTCAGGCACCCGTGGTCCTCTCCATCTCCAGCGTGACGCGGGGCAGGCCGACGTTGACACGAACGACACCTTTGTTTCCGACGTAGGGAAAACGCCACGTGTAAAGCGCTCTGTGAGCTTCTTCTTGACACTGCGTCTGGCTTCAAGCACGGTAGCTGTTTTTGCCAGAAAATGTCGAGCCAGGCTACTAAACCCTGACTATCTGGCCTTCACACAAGGGAGGAAACGACTGCCCCCTCTTTCGTGGAAACGTCGGCACCTGGCGGCTTGGCCGCAAGTGCCCCCTTTTTCCTTGAACGTCCGACCCCCCGCCCCCGTGACCAGAGCACTGACTGGAGCACAGGACGGCGGAGCCGACTTCGTATCCCGGTTCTCGGGCACCACAATCAGAGCGCACGTGCGAAGCCCCCTCTTTGGTAAAGCGGCCACTGCTACGACTCTGGCTGATGGGAAAAATGCTGCACCGCCGAAGACGAGCTCTTGGAGAGACTTTCGGCCGATAACCAGAAATTTGCCTGATGATTGATCATATCGCTTGATGAGATACAACCGCCTTTGCAACACTGAGTACAGCATTATCGAAACAATGCAACGAAGCACAAGCAAGTGAATGAAATATGGAGTGCGACAGCGAATACAATTTGTCGAAACACTGTAACAAGGGCGCAAGCATTCTTGAATTATGTGCCCACCCCCACGGGCCGAGTGCACCCATTATGGTGGGGTGTCTCTTGCCCGGGGACGCGCCTGCCTTAACGGCTGCAGGCACCCGTGGTCCGTTCCGTCTCCAGCGTGACGCGGGGCAGGCCGACGTTGACACGAACGACACCTTTGTTTCCGACGTAGGGAAAACACCACGTGTAAAGCGCTCCGTGAGCTTCCTCTCGACACTGCGTCTGGCTTCAAGCACGGTAGCTGTATTTGCCAGAAAATGTCGAGCCAGGCTACTAAACCCTGACTATCTGGCCTTCACAAAAGGGAGGAAACGACAGGAAGGGGGAGGGGGAGGGAGGCGGGAGGCTGGGAGAGGGGTGGCGGGCGAGGAGGAGGAAGTAGCGGGAGGAGGGCGAGGAGGAGGAGGGAGGCAAGCGAGGTGTCCTCGTGCCATGTCTGACATCCTACCCCGCCCACCCATCCTTTCCCATTGCGCTGTATTGCTCGATCCACGGACGCGTGTCATGGAGGGCCTGGAACTCTCTCAACAAAAGCACATCGTGTTATGCGGAATCGAAGAAATGGAGCTGCGTACGCATGAGGTGGCGGATCAGCTGGAGGATAAGCCGGTTGAAACAGAAGACGATGAGGAAGGAGGAAGACGAGAACAAACAGCAGCAACAAGAACTGGAATGGAAGGAGCGGAAGGCGAGTCGAGTCCAGCCGTGGCGACGCGGGCCTTCCAAACCCCCCAAAGGCGAAAACTACGCAGAAGTCGCATATCGATAACTCATCCTTCTCGGACACTTGAGCAGGGACAGACCGTCCTGGCATTCCTACAGGCCTACCACGAACTGTTCCCATAATCACCCAACCTTCTCGGGACCAAATGATGCTTTTAGGGCATCAAGCCAGTAGATCAAAATAAGACGGCCTCAGCCAGAAATGTTTCGTGCAAGCCATCAGAAGTTCGTAGAACAGTCACTGGTGCGCCTACAGTGCGGACGCGGCCGCAAGAAACCCTCGCAAGCGCGAGAGCCAAATTGGGAGGAAACCGAAACGCCGAACGCAGCAGCTCCCTCAACGGCTGTGGCGTATCACCGCGAAGCGCGTGGAGCAGAGGAACCCAGAGTACATTGACGACAAGCATTCGGACCCTCGAGGCGCGCCCCTCTGTATAGGCAGGCCAAGACGCTTCGCCATCGCTTGACACATTGCGTTGCCTCACCTTGCAGCAGGTCGGTCACGTCCTCCTACAGGCAGATTCTGGAAGAAAATGTAAGACCAGTCCAAAAAAACACAAATGGCGAAAAAGAGCACGAAACATCGTCACCTGACTATTCTCTTACTGTTATTGAATATTCCTCCTGTAGATCGGGGGCGGCCTAGAGAGGGGCGTCCAAGAGGGGGGGGCAATCATGGCCGGCGGCATGTGCGCGGCCCAATGGTGGGCCAGGGACGTAATGAAATGAGAAGAGGCGCCATGAAATCTGGGGAAATATCTCCCCCCCTAGTCAAAAAAGCTGTCAGAATGGTCAACAAAAACAAACATAGTGAACAGAGCACGAAACATCGTCACCTGACTGTTCCTTCACTGTTCCTGAGCATGCCTCCTGTAGAAGGACGCGCCCGACTTCCGCAGTGCAGCACCCTGCGCTCGCCCATCGGGCCGGGCGAAAGGGGGGGATAGCCAAGGGGGGGTTTGAGAATCAGCTCACGTAGCTGATTTTCCCGGCGCCTCCCGGCGCCCGAGGCGGCCATGTATCGAGGAATGGGCCCCTCGGTGGGGCCGAAACCGGCTGCATGCAGCAGATTTCGTAACCCCCCCTTTCCCTATCCCCCCCTTTCGTTCGGCCCGAGCCCAGCCCCGCCCGCCCGCCCCGGGGAAAGCCGCCGGGCAGAGCCCCCACGCGGGGCCCTCCCCGGGCCGCTCGGCCGGCCTCGGCCGGCGCCAGCAGGCGGCGCGGCCTCCGAGCACGCACGCACGGGCGGCGAGCGTCTCCGCATCGTGGCGCGAGGGCGGAGGCTCGCCGCCTGCCTGCCTTGAAGCGGCGCGCACCAGGGGGCGGAGCACGCACGGGCGGCGAGCGCCTCCGCATCGTGGCGGCGACCGCCGCGGGGGGGGCCCGCCTGAGCCCGCCTGCCCCGGGGAGACCGCCGGGCAGCCCCAGAGGGACCCCCCTCGGGCCGAGGACGGCCTCGGCCGACGCCGGCAGGAGGCGGCCTCCGAGCGGCGAGCGCACGTCGGCTTCGTGTCGTGCCGACTTCGGCGTTGGTCTCTGACACCGCGGGGGTCGTTCAGCCTGGAACGGTCGGCCGTTTCCGAAGCGTCCAAATCGTTCCACGCCCGTTCCACACCGAACGATTCTGGGTCGCCCGCGGCATTCAACGTTGAACGCCGCTGGCGGGGTCGCCGCCGGTCGACACGACACGAACCTACCGAATCCGCATCTCGGCGGCGACAGCGGGGGGGCTCGGAGGACCCCAGCTCGGGGGGCAGGAGGGGCACGTCCTTGCGCCGTCCTGAGAGAGGCGCGTCTGTCTCTGCCTGCGCGCAGGAGGAGGAAGCCGCGGGCCCCGGGCGCTCGTTGGCGTAATCATTCGAGCTCGCGGTTCTCGAACATCTCCGTGAGCTCTGTCACGCTCTGCGCGTGGGTGACCCTCAGAACGCGTGTTGGCGCCAGCGTGTGCCTGTCCACCGAGGCCCTCCGAGACGACGCGGGCGGTGCAGCGATGGCCGACAGCGGCTGCGCGCGATCGGCGGAGCAGAACGGGGTCAACACTCGGCGGTGAGCCCAGGGGGGGGAAGCGGGAAGGAGCGGGCCTGCTCAGAAAGCTCGGAAGTCCCCCAGCCTTCCGAGAAGTTTTCTAAGCCTTCCCTCAGGATACAGAAAATGTCTCGGATACAATGGCATGGATTGCAAGAACTGTATGGCTTGTGTGACCGGCGATGCGACGACACTACCCAGTTCTCCTCCGAAAGGTATCGGCGCTCCCACGTACGTCTGGAGCTCGGCCGATTAAAAAACGACGCCTGCTGCAGCTGCGGCTCCGTTCAGGGCGCGAGGGCTTCTGAGAAGGCGCGAGGGCTTCTGAGAAGTCCCGTCGCCTGCTGAGAAGGCCGTCTCCTTCTCCCTTCCCCCCCTCGCTCGCCGCCGAGTACCCGCGACCTCGCGGTCTGGAGCGGTCGCGCGGATACGTTGCGCGCGGGGCATCCGCGAGAGAACGCCCCGTAGCCGCGGGGTCGCGGCCCGCGAGGCCGCGGGTACGGAGCTGTTTCTCGCCCACGAGCATGGCCCAACGGCCCAGTAGAACGCGCCGAAGAGGCCGACGTTGAGGAGAAGGACCAGGATTGAAAAACGTGTCGTCGGTGGGCTATCTCAGGCGCAGGGGGATGAGGGAGATTGGCACGCACGCAGTGGGTATGGAACAGTGGATACGATGCCCACGACGCACGACCTGGCGCTGGCACCCACCAAGCTCTGGGCCCAAATCTGGCCTGGTGGTCGCGTGAGGCTCGACTCCAGCGTTGACCTACGAAACTGCGTGGATTCCCAAGAAGATCTTGGCGCTGCAATTTTTGCCCGCCGCCGGACCCTGGGACCATTCCTGATCGATGCAGCTATCAAAACGCAGCGGAAAGATGGGGTCTGGGGCTCCAGTGGTGCTGTTTCGCGATGTTGCAACGTTTGACGGCGTAGAATCTCAAGGTAATTCAACTGAAGGGGCCCTGGGACACACAAATAAATGCACACAAATAACCAGATTCCCTATATTTTCCTATATTTTCTGGGTGTTTGTCGTCCCCCCCACTTCCCATATTTTCCCGTATTTTCCTGGGAGTCGACGATTAATTGTGTCTGTGTTTTTTCCCCTCCTGATCAACCTTGAACAATCCCGATGGCGCGATCGCTCAAGGCCAAGTCGGCGAGGCACGAAGCGTACCCTCACTCTCCCGAGACGAGCGCCCAGGGAGCTCAGAGAACTTGACTGCCGGTTTGCCTGACCGGCCGGCCAAACGACGAGGACGAGGACGAAGACTAGGACGAAGACTAGCACGAGGACGAGCGCCCAAAGAGCTCAGAGAACTTGACTGCCGGTTTGCCTGACCGGCCGGCCAGACGACGAGGACGAGGACGAGGACGAGGACGAGGATGACGACGACGACGACGCCGACGACGCCGACGAGCGGGGGGGCGCACTCGGGCAGGCCGCGGTCAGAGTGCTGTTCTCGAAGTACCACTGCAGACCTGGCTCGGCGGAGGCAAGAGGAGAAGGCAGAGGGCAAGAACTTCACCCAAGAGGCCAATCCGTGAGGTCTGCACGTTTATCAGAGTGAGGGGGCCGAACGGTCATTCACTGTCCCTGGGTGCGTGGCTGAAGTGGAATTCCGCGGTGCGGATTCTCGTTGTTGTTGTTGTTTGTTGTTGTTTGTTGTTGTTGTTGTTTGTTGTTGTTTGTTGTCGTCGTCCCACCCGCAACCCGCCCCGCGACCCACCCGCGACCCACCCCGCGACCCACCCCGCGACCCACCCTCGCGACCCACCCGCGACCCCACCTGCGACCCACCCCGCGACCCACCCCGCGACCCACCCCGCGACCCACCCCGCGACCCACCCCGCGACCCGCCCGCCGCCCACCCCGCGACCCACCCGCGACCCACCCGCGACCCACCCGCGACCCACCCGCGACCCACCCGCGACCTACCCCGCGACCAACCCGCGACCCACCCCCGACCCAAACCACGTTCAGGGTACAAACCACAATTCTCGGCGCCTGCGGCGGGCTTTTTTTGCATTCCTTCCAGGTGGAGAGCCCGCGACCCACCCCGTGACCAACTCGCGACCAACCCACGACCCAAACCACGTTCAGGGTACAAACCATATTTTTCGGCGCCTGCGGCGGGCATCTTTTGCATTCGTTTCAAGTAGAGAGCCCGCGGCCCACCCGCGACCACGTTCAGGGTGCAAACCACATTTTTCGGCGCCTGCGGCGGGCATCTTTTGCATTCGTTCCCGGTGGAGAACCCGCGGCCCACCCGCGACCCAAACCACGTTCAGTGTACAAACCACATTTTGTTGGCGCCTGCGGCGGGCTGCTTTTGCATTCCTTCCGGGTGGAGGTGGAGAGCCCGCGACCCACCCGCGACCTAAACCACGTTCACTGAACAAACCAATGCTGGGAGGACGATGATGGAGGCCGATGAGGGGGAGGACGACAATGGGAGGACGATGATGAAAGGACGAGGGGGGGAGAGGGAGGACGAGGAAGAAGAGGAGGAGGAGGAGGAGGAGGAGGACGAGGTGGAGGAGGAGGATGAGGATGACGATGACGATGAGGACGAGGAGGAGGAGGAGGATGAGGAGAAGGAGGAGGAGGAGAGCGCCATCGACAGGGAAGGTGGGGGCCACGAGGTCCGCCGGCTCGACGACGCCCGCGTCGCCCGCGCCCGCCCCCTCACTCTTATCCGCAATTGCGGGGTGCTACGTATATACGTAGCACCCCGCACTTGCGGATAAGAGAGAGCGGGCGGGCGCGGAGTGGGTCGCGGGTGGGTCGCGGGTGGGTCGTGGGGTGGATCGCAGGTGGGTCGCGGGTGGGTCGCTGGTGTGTCGCGGGGTGGGTCGCGGGGTGGGTCGTGAGTGGGTCGCGGGTGGGTCGCGCGAGTGCATCGCGGGGTGGGTCGCGGGTGGGTCGCGGGGTGGATCGCGGGTGGGTCGCGGGTGGGTCGCGGAGCGGGGGGGGGGGACGACGCAACAAAACAACAAAACAACAACAAGAATCCTTGCGGTGGATCCCCACTTCAGCCACGCACCCAGGGACAGTGAATGACCGTTCGGGCCCCTTCACTCTGATATATGCACCATATGTATGTATGTGTGCATGCATGTATGCATGTGTGTATGTGTACATGTGTATGTATTTACATGTAGGTATGTGGGTATGTAGGTAAGTATGCATGTATCCTAATGTATGTCTACATGTATGGATGCATGGATGTTTGCGTGTATGCATGCATGCGTACGTGCATGCATGCACGCATGTGTGTGTGTGCATGCATGTGTGTATGTATATATATATATATATATATAAATACAGATGTATGTATTTATGTATGTATGCATGGATTTGCTTGTATGTATGTCTGTAGGTTTGTATCATATATGATGACGCCAAGATGGCCAGAACCCGCGCCCCCCAAAGCCTGGAGCCCGCTGCCGCCCATCGTTGCCGACTCATTGCCCCAACAGCGCGACAAGGCCGTGAGAACGGGGACCCGCTTCCCCCCCCGTCGGTGCACTCCACCGTCAATCACCCCGACCTTATCCCTACCCCGAAGATTGACAGGCCAAATAGGGAGTATGACAGTATCACTAGCAGTGCTAGTAGTAGTAGAAGTCGGAAAAGTGGTGTAGTAGTCGTAGTAGTAGTCGTAGTAGTAGTAGTAGTAGTAGTAGTAGTAGTAGTAGTAGTAGTGGTGGTAGTAGTAGTAGTAGTCGTAGAAATAGAAATAGTAATAGTAGTAGAAGAAGAGGCGGTAATAAAAGTAGTAGTAGTGGAAGTAGCAGTAGTAGTACTAGTACTAGTACTAGTACTAGTACTAGTAGTAGTAGTAGTAGTAGTAGTAGTAGTCGTAGTGGTAGTAGTAGTAGTAGCAGTAGTAGTAGTAGTAGTAGTAGTGATAGTAGCAGCAGCTAGCAGCACCAGTAAAAATACTAGTAGTAGTCGTAGTCGTAGTCGTGCTCGTAGTCGTAGTAGCAGCAGCAGCAGTAGCAGTAGTAGTAGTAGTAGTAGTAGTGATAGTAGTACTAGTAGTCGTAGTAGCAGTAGTAGTAGTAGTAGTAGTAGTAGTAGTAGTAGTATGAGTAGTAGTACTAGTGGTTGTCGTAGTAGTAGTAGTTGTAGTAGTACTAGTAGTTGTGGTAGCAGTGGGGGGAAGTAGTAGTAGCCGTAGTAGTAGTAGTAGTAGTAGTAGTAGTAGTAGTAGTTGTCGAGGTAGTAATAGTTTATCGTAATAGAAGTAGTGATAGGGATAGTACTAGTAAGAATCAGATTAGTAATAGTCTGAGTAGTAGTAGTAGTAAAATAGTCGTAGTAGTAGTCGTAGTAGTCGTAGTGGCAGAAGTAGTAGTAGTAGTAGTTGTAGAAGTGGTCGTGGTGGTGGTAGTAGTCGTAGTCGTGGTAGTAGGTAGTAGGTTGTAGGTAGTAGGTCGCAGGTAGCAGGTACCAAGCAGCAGGTAGCAGGTAATAGGTAGGAGTAATAGTAGTACTAGCCGTAGTCGTGGAGGAAGTAGTCGACGTCGTCGATGCAGGCATACAAACACCAGCAGGTAGGCAGTAAGTAGTAGGTAGTAGATAATAGGAAGTAGGTGGTAAGTCGTAGGTAGTAGGAAGCCATAGTCGTAGTAGTAGTAGTAGTAGTAATAGTAGTAGTAGTAGTAGTAGTAGTAGTAGTAGTTGTTGTACCGGTGCTGGTGGTGGTAGTAGAAATAGTATTAGCAATAACAGCAGTAGTAGTAACAGTAGTAGAAGTAAACGTAGCAGTATTGGTGGTAGTAGTAGCAGTAGTAAATGTAGTAGTCGTCGTCGTAGTGGTGGTAGTGGTGATGTTACTAGTAGTAGTAGTAGTAGTAGTAGTAGTAGTAGTAGTACTAGTAGTAGTCGTAGTCGTAGCAGTAGTAGTAGTAGTAGTAGCAGTCGTAGTAGTGAAAGCAGTAATAATAGTAGTAGTAACATTAGTAGTAGTGGTGGTAGTAGTGGTGGTAGTAGTAGTAGTAGTAGTGGTACTATTCGTAGTAACAGTAGTAGTAATCATAATAACAATGGTAATAGTCGTCGTAAGCGTAGTCGCAGTCGTGATCGCAATCGTAGTCGTAGCATTGTAGTAGTAGTCGTCGTCGAAGTCGTAGTTGTAGTCGTAGCCGTAGTTGTAGTAGTCGTAGTAGTAACTGTACTATTAGTCGTCGTCGCGATCGTCGTCGTAGTCGTAGTCGAAGTCGTAGTAGACACAGACCCTACAGGTCCTACTACAGGTGCCGAAGGTCCCGGTCCTACTACAAGTGCCGAAGGTCCCGCAATGCCTGCAAGTGTCGCAAGTCCCATGGGTCCCACAGGTCCCACAAGTGCCGCAGGCCAGGTAAACCCGCAGGTCCCACATGTGCACCAGGTCCCATGGGTCACTTTTGCTGTTATTAAGAAGCCTTGCTGGGGGTAATCGTGCTTCCCGTTCTGTCAGAACTCTCCCAGGATGGAGATACTGTGCCCCGATCCAACCTTCCACCGTTTCGTGTTCTTCGAGAGGAGCAGGCAGAGGAGGAGGAGGAGCAGGAGGACGGGGAGCTGCAGCAGCACTTGCAGGAGTTCTCCAGTTCCAGCTCGGATTCCAGCTCCAGCTCAACTCCAACTCGAGCCCCAGATCCAGCTCGAACCCAGCTCCGGCCTCAGCCCCATGAAACATTAACCCCAGGAAGCTCTTCGTTCCTGTTGAAAACAATGGACCCCGTATATCGTTCAAACTCCGTGAAATGACCATGTGGCCCTCATGAACATACAAACCTCGTGCGCCCAAGAGCCTTCGGGGGACCTTCCAGACCAGTGGCGCCCGCCACCTCTAAAAGCTCTGTCTAGGACCGCACCGCCCACTCCTACATTCCCAAGTGACGGCAATGGCGGTCGCAGCGCACCTCCCTGGCGCCAAGCGACTAAGATTGTGACGGCGAAGCCTAGCTAGCCTGCATAGTCTTGTGTATATACACACGTACAACGAGTGCATTGGCGCTTCGCGCCGGGCCATGCACCTTGGTCCTTGAAGTTCGGTATGCAGGCAGCATGGAAGGAAGATCAAACAGACAACTGAGCCATATCTCCTGGTTGCCATTATGGCATCGCCCTTATCGTAATGTTTTTCGTTATCCTTGCTCCATGTCTCGGTTTCATCATTATCGCCCTACCCTGCAAATTCTTTCCCATCCTCCTCAGATCTTTTTGCGGAGACTCCTCCTTGGAGAACCTCTGGGGGCCTCACGGAAGTGTTTCAGGCTTTCTTAAGACCTCCTGGAAGCCTCCTGGGCGTCTTCTAGGGGCCTTTGGAGGCTTCCTCGGGCCACCTTGCCTCCAACCGCAGTCTCCCTGAACGACAGGGTCAAGACTTGGAATTCTTCGGAAGGTGTCTTGAGGCCATATTGGGCCGTCATGGTGCTTTCTTAAGCCATATTGGAACCTTGTTGTGCCGTCTTGGGGCCCTCTTGGACTGCCTGGAAACCCTTTCGGATGATTTTGGGCGCTGTTCGAGCCTCGCAGGCGGTCTCGGACGCCCAGAAGATCGAAGGACAGGGCATCCCCGAAATCATGCAAACATCTCAGAAAATCAATGTTTTCCCCCGCGTTCTGGGGTGTCTGGGGACTCTTGGGGCTCTCGGCAGGGCATTCGGCCGCCTTCCTGGCCGATTTGGACCCGTTGCACAAGTCCGGCAAGGGCTTCCAGGATCTCTGAAACGCCTGGGGGGCATCCTGCAGGATCGTCCAGGGGGTCCCCAAGGGCCAGGAATCCGGGGATCCAGAGGATACCAAAGGCCTGGGATTCGCGGGGTCCGATGTGTCGGGGGGTCCCGGGTAAACATATACGAATGGGGTGTGTTCATAAATCGATAGCAGTGTAAAGGTGTTTGTATATGTAAATGTATGTGTATATGTATGTGTATAGGTTTGTGCATGTGTGAACGCTTATGTGCTTGACTATGGAAACGTAAGTGTACATGTGCATGTATATGTATGTAGCCATGCAAATGTACATGTATACGTACGTGGTTATGTATATGTATATGTAATGTACACAAAGGTATGTGAATATGCATGTGTAAATGTACATGTAGATGAATATGTAGATGTATATGTACATGTATGTGCATGTGCATGTGTATGTGCATGTGCATGTGTATGCGCATGTGCATGTGTATGTGTATGTGTACGCGTATGTATATGCGTGTATATGTATAGTTGATTGTAAATGTATGTGCATATGTATATTATATGTATGCAACGCCCATCCAGCGCCTCTCACACTGCAGTGGCAGAGATGGGAAAGCAGACGGACGAAGGCGAGAGGGACGCAGGAGAGACGATCACAATCGCAATCACGGCACTCATCTTCCAGAGCAGCAGGCCGCGCCACTTGAGCAGGTGCTTGGAAGACGGTGTGTATATGTATGCGTACGTATGTATATGTCTATGTCTATGTACATGTATGAATCCAACTGCTCTCAAAACCCTTTCCGATGTTGACGCTAGGCGACGATGGGGCGAGGTTTTCCTGAAAACCTGACAACACAGAAGTGCCTCGTGCCAAAGGCTGCGGAACAGAAAGGCAAGAACAACATGATTGCAGACCTGCTATACAATTCTCTGGGCCTGCCCACTGTCTTAAAGCTCACATGGGTTAGATAGTTGGCAAGAGAATCGACAGTCAGCCCAATTTTTCTGAGTTTTAACTGGGTCTTGAAATCATCCAGAGAGCAAGGTCCGCACTCCAGTCACGAGCAACAGTACTGCCTCGCCCTCGCGAGGTGTCTCCCTGAGACCACAAAATGTGAGGGAGCAATCTCTTCAACGGGTGGAGAGGAGAGAAAGGGAGAGAGAGAGAGAGAGAGAGAAAAAGAGAAACCACCAACCACCACCACCGGGGAAAGGCGGGAAAGGGAAAGGGGTCGTGCCGCCACACGCCGCTATGGCGCCAGACCTGTCTCCGGATCTTCACCGTGAAGCCGTCGGAGGCGCTTCCCAGAATAGGCTCTGGATCTGTCTCTTCCTGCTACCCTGTCCTCCCTGTTCCTCATGCTCGTCCCCTCACTTACCAGACGTAGCATGCCCGAGGAAAGCAACTTGAACTGGGCCAAATTACCCTTTCTGTATGTCCGACTTTGCGAGAGCATCCACCGGCATCGCTGGGTTAGGTACCCACCGCATCTGACTCCCAACTCTCGTCATCACCGAACGGACAACTGACAAATCGATGGCGATGCGTCTGTCGGCTTTGGAGCCGCTCGTTTCCTTGGCCAACGTGTCGAATATCCCCTTGGCGTCGACTATATGAACGTTGTTCAGGGGGGCAACATTAAGCTTACAGTCCTGCCGAAGAAGCGCGGTGCACGGGCCCACCTCCTCCCTCCAGTGCTCGGTCAGGAGCCCTCCCTGGGTCACGTCTAAAACAACATCTGCAACCACTCTGCCTCGGCCACCGCTCCTGACAAAGCCAAGACTTCCCCCCCGAGGGTCGAGGGAACCTGTCGTCGGACCCGGCTGGACCTCCACGCGATAGGAGTAACCCTGGAAAGTTTTCCATCCTGAATGGACGAATCGGCAGCATAGACCTGCCAGGCCTGCTGAATCTTGCTACTATCCAGTCCCCCAGCCCCTCCGCAATCGCTTGCGGTCGCGAACACCATTCTTCCTGGACGAAAAGGCCACGCAATCAGCGGAACCTGGGCGGTGTTTCGAAGGTGATCGACCATGCGATTGGCCTCCAGGACATCTCCGATACAAGCCTGGGTCAGCCGGGAAGCCAGCATCGAGGCAGCGCCTGCTGCCTCGGCGCGCGACTCCCTTCCGATCCAGTTCAGCTTGTAAACCAAACTCCTGAACTGTTCGAACTCGTGAGAAAGCAAAGTCTTCGAGTGATTTGACCTACGGTCCCTGGGGAGCTCCACCTTATGGAGATTCTCAAGCATATATTTCTCCTGATCGAGGAGCACTCGATCGGGCAGCCTACGAACCCTACGGCCGATAAAGTCGGTCCCCTGCTGGTCAACCTTCCTCAACTTACCGAATTTGAACCTACTGGTGAACGCGTTCAAACGCTCCTCGGCCAGGTCTGGGGCCACGGCGATCAGCCAGTCGTCCACTTCTACCAAGACCTGGGACCGAAGTCTACCATCCACGCGCTCGTGGAACCAGCATGGCTCCACGCTGGCCTTCTGGTACCCTTTCTGGGACATAAAATCGCGAGTAGTCTTGTGGAGAGCGAGAGGGGCGTCATCGAGCCCGTAGACCGGAGCTAGGAGCTCTATCAAGGCCCCCGGGGCCAACCTCAAGCCATCGCATGGCTCAACAAACACCCGACCCCGGGGACGCTGGAGCTTGTCGCTCTGACAAAAGGCATTTTTGAGGTCCCCCACATACAAATCGAGTCCATACATGAGAGAGACCACAAGAAACATCATGAGGGACTCCATCTGTGGGGTCGGTGCGTACACTTTAAGCTCGGCAGTGTCCTCGTCCTCGTGACCCCGGACGCACCACCTCGATTTCGCCTTCGGGGGAGCAAAGGTCCCCTCCTGGGGTTTCCAGCGACGCACCATCCTCGAACTCACCACTCTGTTTGGGAAGGAGGCTCTGAGCTGTCGTCCAATATCCGGGGGATGCACAATGACAGCTTTAGTCTCCAACATGGCTTTCCACTCACTGGCATCTGCGGCCTCGAAGGCTCTCCTGCCCTGAGCGTCGAGATCCTTCCACCTAACCTCCTGCCCCTTCCCCACCAGCAAAGAAAGAGAGACGGAACGTGAGCTGGGGCCCACCATCACGTCGGCATTCCCGTTAGAGAATGTGCGCCAGTCTCCACTCCAACCGTCCTCGCGTAGCTGACGATTGATACCGCGTAGATAGGCTCTGGCCCCCTCAGGATCCTCTCCCGCCCCCAAAACAGACACAAACTCTGGGGACTCACTGAAAGAAGCGAAGACTGCGGAAGTGAGAGGGTCCTCACCGGTCTCCCCTGGCACCTCAGCATCCGTTCCCCCCGGATCTTGATCTTGCTGGGCGGCACGGGGGATGGGGCTCCTGGGCCTGCGACGCATCTCGCCCCCCTCTTCCCCTTGGAACTCCTCGACCTGCCTGCGGACCCCCCCAGGGAGATCCGCTCGAAAGTCCTCTCTAAGGGTCGGGGGTCTTCTAGCCGCGGCGCCAAGATCCAGTCTCTGATTCCAACGAACGGCTTCTGCCACCTGTTGAGGGAACGAGGAATCGGAAGACGAGGCGGGAACCGGGTTCAAGGGTCCCCTCGAGCTCAGGCCTGGCCCCGAGGGCTGGTCCTCTCTCCGTGGGGATCGGGATCCTCTCCTGGCACCGTCTCCTGCGGATGGGACGTTCCCCGCGCCGGCGTTCTCTTCCAAAACTCCCCCCAGGCTCGGGACACTGTCGGTCTCGGATCCCTGGGGCCCTGGGGTGCCTGACGGAGGCCCTGGGATCCCCGAGTCCGTACTCGCGGCCTCGGACGGTGAAACACGTTCTCGCCCCTGGAACGGTCCCGGGACCCGCGGGGGCGCACTTGGTCTGGTACCTGTTGCACGCGTCGGTGCCGAACTTGCTGCTGACGCGTCTCCTGGGCCCGCGGGAGCACGCGGGCCGGCTGGCCTAGGGACAACTGAACTCGGCACCGTGGGAATAACAACCTCATGATTTCCGTCAACGGGATTTGGGAGTGGGGCCTCCCACGCCTCTGGGGGGGGAGCCCCCTCCCTAAGGACGTCAACTCCAGATCTCTGATGTCCCACCTGGGCATCGCTGATGAGCTCACGGATCTCGGGCCCGAAGAGGAGCTCAGCTCCCTTCGCCTCACTTCCAATGGCTGGGCGGATTTGTTCGGTGCTGCACTTCCACAACCTAGAGCGCATGGCAATCCAAACAGTGTTACCCCTCTGAACCACCACGACCCCGGGGCCGACCCATCGATCTCTTTGCAGAGAAAATGTTTTTCTTCCCCCCGTGGGAGCCCTACGCCAAACGTACACCCACTGTCCTGCCGTGAAATGTTGTTCCCTGCGCATCCTGCTACGGTTGGCCTCCCGGACCCTCTGCTTGCTAGTGGTCTCGAAAAGTGACCTTCTGGTGAACTCCCTGATCGACTGTTCTTTCGCGAAGTCTGCAGCGGCCGTGCCCCGATCCCACGCGGTCTGCGTGAGATCTTCTACCCCGACACCTGATACTACATCGTCGCTCAGGAGGTCGTTCGGAAGTCGGGGATTCTGTCCCAGTACTAGTTGATACGGCGTATATCCTCCGCGATGAAGATACCTGTTCTTCGAACTCACGATACTGTGCATCAGAAGATCGAGATCTTCATGGGTGGCCACAACGCTCTGCTCGATACCTCGCAGCATCAGGTCCTTTACCCAACCTCCGTGCCGCTCACATCGGCCGTTTTCCCAAGGGGACTCACTATTGGTCACATGCTGGAGAGAACCTTGCTGTTCAAGACCCCTCTCAAACTCCCCCTGGAATTCTGGTCCACCGTCCGTGATGAGGACGTCCGGGGGCCCGAAATACCTGATCCAGGTCTCCATCATGGCTCTCCAGGCGTCCTTGGCTCCTCCCGAGTGCCTAGAAACCACCTGGAAGTTGGCCCCGTGGCGAATGACATTGAATAGCAAACAACCTCGGAGAGAAACGGGACGAAGAAAGAGTCCACGGCCACAATCCTATTGAACTGGAACGTCCTCGGAATGGCGACTCGCCAGTGCTCGGCAGTTCTCTTCTGGGAATCACAAGCGTCGCACCTGAAGTGGTCCCGGACCCACTGAAGAACCTCTGGCCTCGCCTGGGCCGCTCGCAAAACCTGGGTAAAAACTTCATTCCTGGGGTGCCCGAGGTTCACATGGACTCGCTCGATCATCTCCTTGATCCGAGCCGTGATTTCCAGGGGCTTGTCGGCGGGATCCGCAACATCGGCGTCAGCCGTCTCAGTATCTTCGACATCGTCCCCCCCTCCCTCTCTGCCCGTTCCCATCGGATAGCCCCCGTCTGCGGTGTCCTCGATGGGGAAGGAGACCTTGGTAGCTAACAAAACAGACTCGGCTTTTGTGATCCCTGGTCCTTGTTTCATCATCATGCTTCTCCAGATTCCCAGGGCCAACCTCCGGGCAAACTCCCTAGGATACACCTGAGCCTTTCGGGTGAGGGTCGACGATTCCAGATGCACATGTGGTTCCTGACACTCGCAACGATACCCCTGGAGAGTCTTGAACAACTGCTCATCATTGGTTAAGATCCTGGTTGGTTTCTTCGACTTTCCCTCTTTGCTCACCTGGAGACCGAACCGACAGAGATCCACAGTGACAAGAAACATGCCTTCTGACGTGGCCAGTCCCCGAAGACACTTTTCGGACCATGAACTCGCACCCACTGGGTGCTCGAGAAAGAACTTTCGGCCCCGCTGATGTTGCATCTGGGCAACCTGAACAGCGAAACGCAGCAAAGTGAGACCTTTTCAATATCTTCTCTAACGCCTTCTCGGCCGAGATGTGTTCCCGTCCTATGGCGAGAATCTGACTAAAGGCATTGCACGGTGGCTCGAGGGCCACGAACCAGGGCTCAACTTCCTCGATCTGCGATAAAGCTTTTCTACGGTCCCCTGGATCCATGAAATTCCAGCCCGTATCAAGATCCCAACTCAACGCCTTCTTGAGCCCCCGATCCTGGAGAAATGGTGAGATACGAGGAGGGGAGAAGAGCTCAATAAAAGTCTCTGCTTTGACTGACAAGAGTTCCTCGGAAGATACCATCGTCTGATCTGGCATGTTCTTGGGTATGGTAACTTCGTAGTCATCGATTGTGGCATCTCCCAGGACAGCGTTAGCCCAACCCGATATTCTAAAGAGAATGGCACTGCTGCCGTCTGGAAGAGCATAAAGCGCGGGCTCGGGCTCACCAATGCGCTGAGCGCGTCTCCTCAGGTGCTCTACCTTGTCTGATGCTGGGCTCCACGCCACGAAGTCTTCTTCATCCAGACGGCAACGCAGTGATCGCTGCACTTGCTCGACGATGCTGTCTGGAAGGGACCTCGCTGATTGGAAATCGCTCACTCGAGGTCGTCCGGGGGCAGGGGCTCCTCCTTCTTCTGGCTGGCGTGCGGCTGAGATGAGCCCGACGTTCCGGGCGGACTGGCCTCCTGGATCACCTCCCACTTGGACTTGTCCAGGTTCTGAATGGCCTGCCCCTGCTGCTGCAGAACACTCGTCATGCGCTCCATCGCCTGGCGACTCTCCATCATCATCTGGTCGGTGTTCTGCTGCTGGGCCTTCAGCGTGTTGATCTGCTCGATCTGCTCCTTCATCAGCGCGGAAAGGCTCTCCCTCTCCCCCCTCGGGTTGTGCTGAGCCGGGCCCTCCGCCGCGCGCCGTGCCGACCTCTCCTGCACGTGCCGCACCAGGCGCGGCTGGGCCAGCGGAAGCTGCTCCTCCTCCATGGGCGTCTCCTCGCTCACCTCCTTGGACGGGTCGGCGACCGCGCGGCTGTAGCCCACCCGATTCTCCCCGTGCACCGGGCTTGGCTTGACCAGACGATCCTTCGTAGAGGGACTGTTTTCCCATTGTGATTGCGGCCTCGGATCGGGGATCACCTCGGCGATGGTGAAGTTGAGAATCAGGCTGACACGCTTTGGTAGACGACCCAGGGCTTTCAGCTGCTGCTGGTCCCTGTATGCGATCGGCTGCCCGCACCTCTCGCATGCCCACCACTTGCCGTGCATGTTGGACCCTGAGGAGATCTCCACCATGGGATGACGGCAGCTCATCTTTGTGCTCTGTCAAGCGCCGATCCATCTTTCTGGTCTTGAGGGTGAAGAGACGTCCCGCATGAAGCATGCTGCGCAGCTCGCGACTGATCATGCACGCCATGCTCATTATCAGAGACGTCAGAATAATCCAATGCCTCGAGCTCCGACTGAGATCTTCTGGAGCGTCGTTGTCCGTGAGAACATACTTCCCTGCGAACGCATGAACCGGAGTCCCTGACGCAGGCATCCCTCTCGGACAGGGCGGACAACCACTGATCGAGTGTCAACTGGTCCTTTTGCTCGAGCAAAGATGATCTCCGGTGCGATGATGCCGTCGAGCGCAGATCCCCAAGAACGCGCCCGGACACATCTGAATTGACAACCCATGGAAACTTCAAGCCCTCGTTTATCGGACACTCCCCGGAAAGCACTTTGCCGTTGTCTTCGATGATGCTCCGGTCGTCGACGGTCGTACACATCGTCTCTAGCTTTTGTGGGTCGTCGTCGTTTCGTCGAGTCGAGTCGTCGGGGCCTGCGGGGATTCCGCCCTTGGGACCTGGGCCGTCGACCTGGGGCCCAGAGAAACCCGAGATCGAGAAGTGGACGAAGCGAGGGATCTGAGCTGAGGAGGCCTTATACTCCGCGACAGGGCGAACAGGCTGCCTGAAGCTGTCAGCACAAATCTCGGGGAAATCCCGAGCCAGCCGCTCGGGACATTGAAACTCCTGAGGTTTCCTCAAGCGGTCAATCCAGAAACATGGGTGACCCGAGGAAAGAAAAAACACCTTCGTGGTCCGACCCAGCTTCGAGAAGAACACCTCTTTCCTGGGCAAATCTACAACTGCGCCCAAGGTCGCGAGCAAGAAGACTGGAAACAGCAAAGGAATATCCTTCTCAATCACATCAACCTCGAGCACTCCGTGGGCCTCCTCGATGCCCATCGGAATCAATGCTGTCGACAGCACGTCCGTCTTGCCACCGACACCACCTGCTGAGGCGTGGCGAGCCGCGACATGCACCACCGCGTAGCCCATCTGCCGAAGGTGGCCATCGAGCTCCGCGAGGTTCCTCTTGCCGACCAGGCCCTGCCCAGCTGCCGCGTCGAGAACCGCGGCGCCTGGCGGGACGCGCAGCCCGCCCGGACTGCCGCCCTTTGTCGCCTGTAGGATCACGTCTCGCTGTAGACAGGTGTCGATGCTGCGACCGGCCACGATCGCTGTCTCCTTCGTGCTCAGCGGCATCGGCACGTCCATGAGGAAGGCATCCTCCTGGGCATTGGGGTAGCAGAAGCCAGTGACCGGAGGGCTCGCCTGCTGTCGCTGGGCCCCCGCCTGCCTCTGACTGGCGGCCGTGTTGCTCTTGTTAGGGCACTCATCGCCCCAGTGCCCCTTTTGCTGACAGATTCGGCACTTCGAGCGCTTGATAATCTCGGAGAGAGGGAGCCTCGTCTTGCGGTCTCGCTGATGGCCGCGAGCGCTGTAGTGGCCGTCCGCTCTCCGGGGCTTGTCTCCGGAACTCTGACCTGGAGCGCTGCGCTGGAAGTACCTCCTGTCGGTCTTGAGTTTCCTCTTCAGCTCTCGGTTCTGGCGCCAGGTCTTCCTGCGATCAGCCTGCGTCGTTGCCAGAACGATTGGTACGTCCGCCTCGCCCAGGCCCTTCTGCTCGATGACGTCCAGGAGCGCGTACTCCGCGTCTGTGTCGAGCGATGAGACGTCTTCCACACTAAGCAGATCCTCCTGAACATCCACCGGGAATGACGTCGGTGGCGTCGGAGCGTCGTGTCCTTCGACGTGGGCTACCAGGTTGCGACGAGTGCCGGTCATCGTCTCCTTCTTGCTGATGTCCAGCTCCCTGATAGCCGCCAGCGTCGACGAGTAGGACGTGTCGCCCTTGGTCAGAACTCTGATGAGTCGCGAGCTGGCGTCATCCCGCCCTGCGCCCTCTTCTAGGAAGAGGGCCTTCCACTCGTCAGGCATCTCGAGCCCTTGAGCGGCGATCCTGTCGAACTGATGGTCCAGTCGGGACGCGAAGGAGGTCAGTGTCTCCGCGTTCTTCCGCTGGTACTGGAACAGGCACTCCCTGGCGGTCCGCCGACGCTCGTCGTCGTGGCGCTCCCCCGAGAGAAGGTCCAGCTGCTTCAAGACGCACTGGACACCGAGCGAGCTGGCGAGCTGGGCGTCGGTGATGCACTCCAGCTTCCTCTGCAACTCCGTGTCTAACATCTTGAGTACCCTGTCTGCCCGCTTGCCGGGCACAACGTCCGTGGCCTTCTCCCACCTGAGTATCTTCCGCTTCCATAGTCGGTAGTCTGGCCAGCCCATCCAGGGCTCTGGGTCGCTGAAGTCCCCCCGCTTGCCGTTGTCTTGTTGCCACCAGGCGGACAGGCTGGAGCCGTATGCACCCCACGGGTCCTCCTCCCATTGACCCGGCGTGGACTTCGGCTTCTCGTCTTGCCAGGGATCTCGTATCCAACTCTGTCGATAATCTCCACTGGACTGCTCCTTCCACCTATCGCCTTCTTGAGCGCCACCTGCTGCGCCATACCAGTTAGCCGCACTCCAGCCTCCCCACTCTGAGGCTGAGTCCCGCCACTGGCCGTGGTCTTCCCCTGCAGGTGGCACACGCACTGACCGATCACCTTCACCCGCGGGAGCTACTGATCGGTCGGCACCTCTGTCGAACACATTCAGCTCCTCGCGGACTAGCTCTCTGATCATGCGGCCGAGGTCGGCCACACTCATCGTCGAAACTCCCTGCAACTCCTCGTGGGCCGCCCTTTGGCCTCCGGCCGCCTGTGCTGGATCCTGGGCCTCGCCAGCAGCCGCCGCCGACATGTCTTGGACACAGGGGGGCCCTGAGAGCTAGAGTGCGCAGTGCGTATTGGAGCCGAGGACGTACCCCAGCTCCGCTACCACTATGAATCCAACTGCTCTCAGAACCCTTTTCCGATGTTGACGCTAGGCGACGATGGGGCGAGGTTTTCCTGAAAACCTGACAACACAGAGGTGCCTCGTGCCAAAGGCTGCGGAACAGAAAGGCAAGAACAACATGATTGCAGACCTGCTATACAACTCTCTGGGCCTGCCCACTGTCTTAAAGCTCACATGGGTTAGATACTTGGCAAGAGAATCGACACATGTACGTGTATATGCATATGCATATGTATAAGTACATGTGCATGTAAATGTATGGTACAGGTATCGGTATAGGTATAGGTATTAGGTAAAGGTATTGGTATAGGTAGAGGAACCGGTACAGGTACAGGTACAGGTACAGGTATACGTATATGTACAGGTGTATGTATAGGTATAGGTATAGGTATAGGTATATGTATAGGTGTAGGTATTACGTATAGGTACAGGTATAGGTATAGGTAGAGGCACTGAAATCTGTAGTAAGTTTAGGTATAGGTACAGGTACAAGTAAAGGCAAAGGTAACGGTAAAGGTAAAGGTACATTACAGATAAAGGTAAAGGTATAGACATATGAAAAGGTATAGGTATAGGTATAGGTAGATGTATAGGTACAGGTAGAGGTATATGTATAGTTACAGATATGGGTATAGGTATAGCTACAGGTGTAGGCATAGGTATATGTATGGGTAGTTGAACCGGTCTAGGTCTAGGCACAAGTATAAGTATAGGTATGGTTATAATCATGTGGATGTATGTTTATGTGTCTACGTGCATGCATATGCAAATGTTCATGCGAATATATATAGATATAAAAAATGTATGTATGTATGTGTATATATATATATATATATATATATATATATATGCATATGCACATGTAAACGTAGATGTATATGTGTATGTACATTATAGTCAAACGTATGGTGTGTACACATGCGTATGGTTATGTATGTGTATGTGTATGTGTATGTGTATGTGTATGTGTATGTGTACGTGCAGAGGTAGCTGCATATGCATAAGGATATGTATATGTATACGTATGTGTATATGTATATGTGTAAATATGATGTTATGTATGTGTATGTGTATATGCATGTATACATATACACAGATAGATGTACATGTGTCTGTAAAACAAAGGCGATGTGTGTACATCTAATGAGAGAGCGCCCGCGCGCGCGGGCGGGCTGTCGCCCACGGCGCCAACAAACTCGCGCGGGGGGCGCGCCGAAGACGGCGGCGATGGCCAGGAGGAAAATGCCAAACTGGGCGCGCGCGCGCGGGCGAGCGGGCGGGCATGCCGGCCGCGGGGGGAGGGCGCAGAGCCACAAACATCTGCACAAGCATCCACTGTCTGAGTTCCGCGCGGATTTCTCGCATCGGCGCTGCACCCCCCCACACACTTATGCCGGGCGTGTCCCCCTACAGGCGGATTTTGGACGAAAAATAAAAAATAGTCAACAAATTCGCAAAAGTGTTCCAAAATGAATCGTCCCCATACTAGTGTTTACCCATTTCAAACTATTCCCCCTGTAGAGGGACAGGCCCGACTTACCCCACACCCCCGGCGCGCGGAGGCGCCGCCGGGGGTTCCAGCGCCCTTGCGAGGGACCCGCGCAGACATCCGAAAGCCCCTGCCGATGCCATCCTCTAGAGGCCGCCTTGATGGGGTCCGAGTAGAAAATGGGGTCGGAGGATCGCGTCGCATCGCCGATGCATCGGCGACGCCTCGGCGACGCCAGCGGTGCTTCGGCGCCGTCGGCGCGTAGAAGATCGGGCTCCACATCGAGCCGCATCGCCGATGAATCGGCGATGCGACGCGATCCTCCGACCCGATCTGCTCCGACACCATCTGGGAGGCCTAGGTCACCCCTTCTTCGAACAAGCTTGCCTGGGCCAACGACAAGAGCAACCCCGAGGAGGGCCCAGAAACCACCCCGGCCAGGCGCTCTGGCTGAGCCCCGTTTGCATTGCCCCCTGTGCCAAGGCTCGGGCGGGTGGCAATGGGGGGTGGTCTGAAGGGGGGCGGGAGAAAGTGGCCTTCAAGGAGCCTATTAGGGCCCCGATTTAGAAGAAGAAGAAGAAAAAGAAGAAGAAGAAGAAGAAGAAAAACGGGACAAACATAAACTGTTGGCGCTCCGCGCGGATTCCTTGGATCTGCACTGGACCCCCCTCCCGAGCGCGCGGAGCGCGCCAGGGGCAGCGACGGAGGCGCCGCCGGGGAGGCCCAGCGCGGATCCAAGAAATCCGCGCGGAGCGCCGCAAGTTTATGTGTATGCTGTTTTTTCGTCGACTTTTGGAGCCAGTACCCCAAGGGGGCCCTAAAGGCTCCGCTGCAAAAAAAGCCCTCAAAGGCCCCCGATCGGGCCCTTTGCTCCACCCCCCATTTAGGTCACCCCCCCATTTTGGCGGCGCGCAGAGGGGGTAGGGGGAGGGGGAAGACTTCTTAGAAGGATCGGGGATCTTCTGACATGGGTCAATCCAAACCAGGGTCAGTCGGGCCTTGCAGGATCCCTACAGGATCCTGCACCCAAGCTCAGGTCAATGCAACTCTGGCACTACAGGATCCTGCAAGATCCAGCGCCTTGGCTGACCCCCGTTTGCATTCCCAGAATCGAATCGACAAGTCGGATCGGCGATCGGAAGGAATCGGATCGCCGGAAATCGGCAGCCGAGTCGGGAAAAGCCGAATCGGCAGACATCGGCAGGCTTGTAGGCCTCCATTGAGACATCGGACCCCGAATCGGAATCCCAAGCCGAATCGAATCGGAATCGGAAGCCATCGAAATCGAATCGAATCGAAAGACTCAGAGGAGTCGAACTGAGCCCTGCACTGACCCCCGCCTCTTGAGCCCGGACTCCCCTCGTGAAGCGAGCCCCCGGCGCGCCCCCGCCCCCCGACGGGGAGGGGCGGTTACGCCCCTCTCGGCACCGGCCGCGGTGGTCCCCCAGCCTTCGCGCCCCGACTCTCCTCGTGAAGAGAGCCTCCGGCGCGCCCCCAACCCCCGACAGGGAGGGGCTGTTACCCAGAGACCCAACGTCTTGAAAAAATATCTTGGCGAAGGACCCAACCATATGCAGTTGTGAGTATCGCAATTGTGAGTATCTTCTTCGGTGGCGCTCCCTATGGGGCCACGAACCGCATGAGGGGTGTGCCGAAATGTGGCGGGGTACACAACGCAAAGGAATACGATAGATCTGATTACGAGAGAAAGAACGCGGGTGAGTCAGAGCGCGAGGGAATCTGAGTATGAATGGGTCTGCGCGCGAGTGAATATATTTGCATGAATGCGATCATGGAAACGCCTAGTGTAAGTGTATATGAATGTGAATGGTTCGAGCATGCCTGTCCGAACACACGCGACACTGGGCGTGGCCGCCGCAGGCAGCTTCCGCGGGAACCCCGACGGCAGCGTCCGCACGTCGCGACGCCCATGTCGGCACGCCTCTTGCGAGGATCGCGCCCGCTTTCGGCTCTTCTTTTCCTTCCTCTTTGCCCGCGCACTCCAAAATCCAAGGCTGCGGGCGCAGCGCAGCGCGGAGTCCCCGCGACGCGCGCTGGTCGCCCCGGGCGGGGTCCCAGCGACGCGCGCGGGTCGTCCGCTGCGCGAAGCAGAGAGAGCTGACTAGCTAACTGGCTGGCTGATAGCGGGCAAGTCTCTGACCGCTGGGCAGAGCGACGACGGGCGAACGAGGCGCCGGGCCCCCCGCAGCACGGAGTTCCCGCGACGCGCGCTGGTCGCCCCGAGAGGGTCCCAGCGACGCGCGCGGGTCGTCCGCGGCGCGAGGCCAAACAATTAGTCGGGCAGTCGAGAGAAGGCGCGGCTCGGGGGAGACGCTCCTCAGGTCAGGCCTCGCGGATGAACTCGGTGAAGCCGAGCTCCCTGGCGAGGGCCGTCGCTTCCCTCCTGCACCGCTTCGTGCGCGCCGCAAACTGCTCCAGCTGCTTCCGCAAGCCCTGCGGCGGCCCTGCCAGGAAGAACTCGATGCGCGGCGCCCGCATGAGCAGGAGGTCCTCGTGGCGCGTGGCGCGCGAGAGCAGCACGTAGAGCTCCAGCCACCAGTCGTCGTCCTCCTTCTTGCCGTTCCCTACCTCGTGGCGGCCGCAATCCAGGATCACGCCTGGGCGACGTCGACCGAGGGAGCAGCGCGCCGGGCAGCCGACGGCCCAGGGCGAGAGTCCACAGGACCGAGAGATGGTCTGGCCGCGGACTGCTCGCGCCCCGGAGGTCTGGCCGCCCCCGGAGCGCCGTTCCCCCGCCCCGTCGCCTTCGCGCATGGTGCGCCCCTGGCACGCCACCGTGGTGATGACCCTGCCGTGCGAGAAATGCGGGGGGTGTGCCGAAATGGGTGGGGGTGACGCATGCGGGCGGCGGCACTGAGGCCTTCGGTGGAGCTCCCTATGGAGCCACGAAACGTGTGAGGGGTGTGCCGAAATGGGTGTGGGTGACGCATGCGGCCGCGGGCACTGGGGCCTTCGGTGGAGCTCCCTATGGAGCCTCGAAACGTGTGAGGGGTGTGCCGAAATGGGTGTGGGTGACGCATGCGGCCGCGGGCACTGGGGCCTTCGGTGGAGCTCCCTATGGAGCCACGAAACGTGTGAGGGGTGTGCCGAAATGGGTGTGGGTGACGCATGCGGCCGCGGGCACTGGGGCCTTCGGTGGAGCTCCCTATGGAGCCACGAAACGTGTGAGGGGTGTGCCGAAATGGGTGTGGGGGACGCATGCGGCCGCGGGCACTGGGGCCTTCGGTGGAGCTCCCTATGGAGCCACGAAACGTGTGAGGGGTGTGCCGACGCATGCGGACAGGGGTGGAGAGCTCCCTATGGAGCCACGAAACGTGTGAGGGGTGTGCCGAAATGGGTGTGGGTGACGCATGCGGCCGCGGGCACTGGGGCCTTCGGTGGAGCTCCCTATGGAGCCACGAAACGTGTGAGGGGTGTGCCGAAATGGGTGTGGGTGACGCATGCGGCCGCGGGCACTGGGGCCTTCGGTGGAGCTCCCTATGGAGCCACGAAACGTGTGAGGGGTGTGCCGAAATGGGTGTGGGTGACGCATGCGGCCGCGGGCACTGGGGCCTTCGGTGGAGCTCCCTATGGAGCCACGAAACGTGTGAGGGGTGTGCCGAAATGGGTGTGGGTGACGCATGCGGCCGCGGGCACTGGGGCCTTCGGTGGAGCTCCCTATGGAGCCACGAAACGTGTGAGGGGTGTGCCGAAATGGGTGTGGGTGACGCATGCGGCCTCCCTATGGAGCCACGGGTGTGAGGGGTGTGCCGAAATGGGTGTGGGTGACGCATGCGGCCGCGGCCACTGGGGCCTTCGGTGGAGCTCCCTATGGAGCCACGAAACGTGTGAGGGGTGTGCCGAATTGGGTGTTGATGATGATGATGATGATGATGATGATGATGATGATGATGATGATGATGATGATGATGATGATGATGATGATGATGATGATGATGGCAGGAGGGAGGGGGCAGCGGGAGGAGGAAGGAGAACGCGGGGCACCGTCTCTTCAAAACGAGGACCCAACACCACAGGATGGTTGGGAATCAAGACGGAGGTTTCTCGCCAAATTCGACCTCTATAGAGGCCCTCGCTGGGCCCCGGGACCGTCGAAAACTGACGCAGGGTGAAAGACCGGTCGGTCGGGGAATGGGTCGAGACTTCCGGGGACCGCGCATTGAAACAATCACGACATCGGATCAATGGGTACACCCCTCTCGGCCCTGGCCGCGGCTCACCGAAGACGGCTCCCCGCGGAGTGGCCCTGGGAGAGCGCTGGGGGAGGGGGGGGGGGCGGGGGGCAAACGTCCGCAGGCCCGCGCCCCGGCGCACTCGAGCCTCACGGGACCCCGCCTCCTGAGCCCGCACTCCCCTCGTGAAGGGAGCCCCCGGCGCGCCCCCGCCCCCCGACGGGGAGGGGCGGCCATGCCCTCTCGGCCCCGGCCGCGGTGGTCCCCCAGTGTTCGCGGCTCCCCAAAGGCAGCTCCCCGCGGCGTGGCCCTGGGAGAGGAGCGCTGGGGTTAGCTCGGGATTCAGGAAGAAGCATAACAGATACTCAGAACATGCTCGAAAGTCTTCAAACATAGTGTGTGTGTATATATGTATATAAAGAAAAATCGTTCCCAGACTATTTTAACTATGTTTGAATGTTCCTCCTGTTAAGGACATGCCCGACTTAACGCTGGGGGGGGCCCTCCCGAAGTCCCGACCCTGTCCCCGGGATATGTCGCTCCCATCGTACTCAAGGACCACCTCCCA